TTTTCCTTAAATACGCATATAAAGTGAATATGAAATGCAGAGCTGTTTTATTTTGGGGATGTTTTTACTACTATTTAACTGTGCATTGGGTTATCTGAGCTTGGTTGAGTGGCCAGTTTTATGTTTTTTTTTGCTTTGGATGGTTGATTGATAAAAAGTTAAATTTGAAAATCTCCAAACAGAAAGTGTCGATGATGACAAAAAAGGTAAAGGAAACTTTCAGGAGCAAGTTTTTTGAAGTCAGAAACCTATCAAGAAGACTTGTAGGAACATAATCCTGCCAAAGAACATAAAGCCCTGTTAAAAACATCCTAATCGTTCCGATGGTGGAACTTAACTGAACGTGTTCAAGAGACGATCTTGAACCCGCCCAAGCAAGAGAATTATTGAATAAAACCACAGAAGAGCTGGAAGACAAGTCGATTAAACAACGGTAGCTAGACGGTAGTTCATTAAACCAAAATCCTTATGAAGATTAAAAAAATCCAGTCAACTGCCATTGAAACAGGACCATCTGCATGGGAAATATTGGCATACTAAACCAGGCTGGAATAGGAAATATCTGGAGTGGCGATGACCATTTGGAAGTTATAACAGGATTTCCGCATTCATTGCGATAATGTGAGCTCATTTTTCAACCGGCCACTAAATTGGACAATTGCGAGGAAATGTTGGTTCTGTTAGAGGGACTTTTATCGGGCTTTTGAATCAGGAATCACTGTTCGGATTAATTACTTAATGAACGCCCGAACATGCCGGATTTTTCAACATTTATATCCGGAGTTGTGTGGGTTTCCCATATACCCATTTCCCGTTAAAATTCTTGTTTTTTAATTGCAGCAATTTTGGATTTTAGCTTTTCCTTGTTGTTAGTTTTGCAAATGTTGATCAACGTCTTTCAGTGTGTTACATGTAGTTTGTCGTTAGTTTAATATTTCATCCTCACAGGTTGATTACAATTTTAAATGGCAATCTGTGGAAGTTTAGCACAAAGTCGACATCTAATTCCATATCGGGAGATTCGAATCTCGGGATCATACATCAAAGATCCGGAGCGAAAGTTTTCCGTGTTTAGTTGGGAAATTTGCGACGAGCTCCAATCTCCAGCATCAAATCAACTTAAATACTGCAAAAGTTTGTTCGTTGAGAGCATGCGAGAAGTTTTTCCCGGTGGAAGTAAATGTGTC